GGTAAAGTAGATGTGACATTGTTTTTTTCTCAGTTGATTTCTACACTTCTGCACATTATGTTGGTAGATTTTATTCAAAAGAAATTTAACAAAATTGCTTGAATATTACAATCAACTTTGATGTTTTCATTTCATTCTTCCGCACTGCTGCAAAGAATATTTTAAAATGAATAATGATTTATAGAAATGAATTTGAAAAACACAACTTAATTCACGACTGAAATGCTCATCTAGCACCTCACAACTATCACAATTCCTTCACTCTGGCTTCCTCCTCCTTGCAGTAATATATCTCGAGAAGGAAATCATCTATTCGTTCGACTAGCAGAATTTCTCTGAACTTGCTATGCCAAATTGATTCCAGGCGACGCCAACGAACTGGCGCCTGACTGCGCTACGCCCTCCATTTACCTGTTTATTAGAAACCTGTTTATTAACTAGAAAGAATCCTGTACAATAAATTTGGTCAAATTGTTATAACATTGACACAGAATCAGCTCTTAAGCCTCCAGTACTATAAGGAGATAACAAGTTGCCCTCTGCGGCAAGCTCTTTATCCTCGCTCCGTGATCTTGCAAACTCTTGAACGTCGCCTAAAACAAATAGGATGTGATGTATGAGAATTCACAACTATTTCGTAAAACCAAGGCAAATGTAATACACAATGAAAAAAGTCTTTATTTTTGTTGTAAATCGCTTGTGTTGTTCAAAATGTTATCGCTGAGTATAGATTAAACATCAAGGGGAAACAAACCTGATCCAAATATAACGAAAATTGCTCCAGAAAATACGCACATTAAAGCAGTGAGCAAAAACAGGTTGTTCCATTCTTGCATGCTGCCCTGTATAAGAAATTGAAGGTTTATGTTTTCGTGAAGATTCCCTTAAGTAGAGTTTATGTGATGCAAGACAGAACATACCGAAGAATTGACGATGGACACCATAAACGGTGTAGTCAGTTGAGCCAACATAGAAGTACTGACACTAATAGATGACAACGTTGGGGTAAATTGCGGAGCGAGCGACAACAGCGAAGTATATGCACCACTAAAGAATACATTAACAGTCAGTATCTAGATTACAGTAGCCCAGGTACCTGGTGTGAGCTCCTAAGCACATGTTAGTGAAGCAGAACAAAATTAGTGCAAGAA